CCTGGAATGTACAGAATGCCATAGAAGTAGAGAAGTTATACACTATACAGTGCAGCAGGGTGTCTTTCTGATACTCACATATGGAAAATTTATGATCCGAGTTCATTTGAAGTGCATTGAAATTGGATGTCTGTTCCCATTGCTAGCTGGACCTGGACATTTTCCTCCCATGATGCAACGGCAGCAGATGTCAGATGGCCAAGCCCAGTGGGGCATAAGGCCACCCAGCAGCAAAGCCTACAATCCTGATGGCCTTACCAAGGGCAAGGGTGTGGGGACAGTGGGCAGGGGTGGGGGTGGGGGTGCGGGTGGGGGTGGAGGAAAATCCAACCTCATGGGGCGAATAATTCCAATATATGGGTTCGGAATCCTCCTTTACATCCTCTACATCCTCTTCAAGGTGAGCTTTTTTCATGTGGCCTGTATGGGTGTGTTGCAGTTTAATCATGAAAATGAGGCAATTACATGTGATTTGTGGTGTTTACTGTAGGAATATACTTCAAATGGTGCTAATCTCACTTCTGTGGCTCAATTTCATATATACTTTAATGATCTCACATTCAGACTTCAGAACCATTGCCCCGATTACTCAGGCAGCACTGTTATTCATGGAGAAACTAGGACTAAAGTTCAAAAGCGGGTTTTGGGGGAAACCCTGTCATTTATAATCTGACATGTCAGAAAGTTTTCTGGTCTATCTGTGAAAAGCAGTTGTCCTTAAAAATGGCCTGCAAAAGTACTGTTATTACTAAATGGATTTTATATAAATGTTTTCATTTCCTTTCATAAAATGTCAGTGTATTTGTCGGATGTGCAATTCTATTTTAAATACGTACATCTGCAGTAAAAATGATTTCTTTCACAGATAACATCTAAGAGTAAAAATGTCAAAGCAGAAACCAGATTTCCTGCCCAGAAATCAGAGAATACGAAAAGAAAAATAAGTAAGTACAAATGCACATATTCAGCTAATGACAGGATGTTTCGGGTCAGACCTGAAGTAATGCATTCATGAGCACTTTTATTGATTCTAGCTGTGACATCTTCCAGGATAATGAGGCCTGTGACTGAGTGCGCATTGCCAGACCCTCTACAATGTAAAATGCCACAGTCAGATGCAAGCAAGCCCGCTAATGAAGAGCAATGGTTCTTTGCCATTTGGCAGCTTCCTTCTGTCAATCACTTCCTTGTAATTTTTCGGTCATTGTTCAGGCCTAATTCTTCTTGTAGAGCTCCCTTCCTTGTCAGACTCCTGCAGCACATATCTGTATCTATGGCCAAAACAAGTCCCTCAGATAAGGTAGATTAAGATTAAGATCCCGTCTAATTCTCTGGGAGCTTTTTCCGGGTCTTTCTTAGACCTGGATTAGCCCACTAAGTAACATTGTATCAGCCCTGGGCCTTCTAGTACCAATTACCTTGTGTCTTTTGGCTCAGCACAAAGAAGTTTACTTCTGCTTCATTCATCAAATGGAGGCCAAAGGGAGAGAAGAACAAATATGATGGCATTGTAAGGGTTCAAATGTGAATCTCTCATTTTTGAGAATCTCATGAAATTCTTTACGCTTTTCTCTATGTACATATATCCAGAATTAAACACAACACTTTGTGCAAAGACCTTAAGATCCCACCATTCACTTTGACCCTATTTCATTTGTAAATTATTCACCCATAGTATGTGAAGGATGCAGTATTTTTGTGTGTTAAATTAGATCAGTGAATGTTTATATCAATAAAACATGCGATTGCTGGGGTGAAGTGAGGGGTGTGGTCCTGAAGAGCCAGCGGCCTGGCTGAAGTACGCAGAGCTGGTCAGAGAGCGCCAGGCTCTTCCAGGAGAGCTGAAAGTCTCGCCCCCGGCCTGCAGCCTCAGGAACGCCTAACTGCAGCGTCTCTTCTAGCCGATTATGAGCTGGCCCAGCTACAGGAGAAGCTGAAGGAGACAGAGGAGGTGATGGAGAAGATAGTGTCAAATGCGGGTGACAGTCCTGACAGGTAATCCTGCCTTATTCACAGCTGCGGGGTGCCCCGCGCTGCGGTATCAGATATGACCAGTCGGAATGGCAAATTCAATTCACCTTGTGATTAATCTGTGTTAAATCCTCATGAACACTAAAATTATGCAACTCCTTTTTCTATAATAACCCACTTCAGTATCTCCATTTATTCTTTAACAAAAAGATGATATATATTGACTTGAAACTGAAACAGTCTTTGCATGTTTTAAAGTAATCTAAGATTAAAATTGTCCATCTTTTTTCCTGTAATTGTACTACTTAAACTGCGAATCGAGTATTTAATTATTTAAAGGTTTTAAATTGCTAACTATTGTTATGGCCTATCTTAAATTGAGACACTAATGCTGAAATTACAAAAGCAGTAAAATGTAATATATACCAATTGCTAAATACCAATTACCAGCTAAAATGTAGCTTAGCCTGAAGAAATTATTTGTGGGGTGAGCTTGTTCTATTAGAAGTGCATCAATAGTAAAGTAATACAATTACTGAGTGAAGAAGCTGTGATTGTAAGTGGCTGACGCTGACTCATGTAGGGCACAGAGAGCGGCAGTGCAGAGTGACAGAAGCTGGCCAGCCTCCCCCACCCTGCTCTCTCTCCATCACAGGGTCAGGAGCGTCACAGCAGAACATGAGGAGAGGCTGCTGCACCAGTTGAAGGAGATCACCAGGGTGATGCGGGAGGGCAAGCTGGTGGAGGGCGTCTCCCTGGGGAGCCAGCTCGAGGAGTGGGAAGGTACAACCTGAGGAGACGGCAGGGGCGTGGTGGTCAAATGACTATCATTTTTAGCTGAAGGTCGCAAATTCAAGATGCAGCAGAGGAAATGCAGTAATATCTCAGAAGAAGAATCTGATTTGCTATAACAAATATTTAACCTTAAAAATGTACAGATACAGCCTGTCGCTCCCTGTACAGCCATCTGTTTATATCAGATAAACAGTATTTTTTGCTGCTTAAGTAAAACCCATGGTTTATGTTTCTGTGATATACTGTTTCATTTGTAGCATCAATTCCTATCATTTCAGCCCAATCTGTTTTAGTGCTCTGGCACATAGTTAAAGGGTGTGACTTGTTGTTTTCTTAAAATAATTCATCTTTGCAGTAGTGATTGGAGGTTGTGACTGTCACAGGATGTGACAATCACAGATAATGCTGCAGTTTACCACATTTGTTTTTTTCTTATCCCCCAAGCTCTACTCAAAAGCAGAAAAATGAGCTTTCTTACTTCCATTAAAATGTCATCTAAACGATTTACTCACTGAAGGGCAGCATCAGCTAGGAGTGGGTAGGGGAAGAGCTCCGCCTTTCGCATACAGTAGCAACATGCTCCAAATCTCAGCGCACAGTTAGACACTAACTTTGTTGAATTATAAATTAATTTTAAGAGGGTGTAATGCTTCAAAAAGAGCCAGATCAGATGTCCACAAACTGATGGGATAACAGCTGCTGATTCGCCCTGATCGAGGGCAGGTCTTATAAGACTTGTAAGTTACACTAATAGTTAAACATGCTAATTAAAATCTGCACAGAGGACAGATAACTTAGCTTGTCCCTTAAGAAAGTCAGTGACCTGTCTTTATTCCATGTAACTAAAATGGTTGACATTGCACCTCCCCCCCCTCCGGCCTGCACAGATGACCCTGAAGAGGTTTACCCTCCATACACCAAGGCTTCCTGCAGAACGAGGTACGGCAACATCAGGATGGGGGAGCGAACTGCTGAGGAACTTGCTGAGGGGGTGGGCAAAGTGATGGAGGAGGCGGAGCTAGAGGGAGAGCTCCGCCTACCCAGGCTTTTCACTCAGGACTCACTGGACGAATGGGAGGAGGTGGAACGGGTGGAAGTGAGGGGCCACTGGCCACACAGCACGAAGCAGGTAGGTCAGAGGGGGGGTGCAGAAGACTGCAGCAAGGAGGGGGCGGAGCCAGTGGTGAAGGCGGAGAGGATGAGCTTCTGCAGTGCAGGCTGCGATGGTGACTACACGCAGGACGAGGCGGAGGGCCTCCCACACACATCCGACTCTGAAGACACAGATGGCTTCAGCAAATCGGAGATCACTGCGGAACTGGGGTTTGGCGTGATCCGGAAGCGAGGCAAACGGGAGGCCGAGTGACAGGCAGAAACAGCGGCACTGCCAGGCATCTTCCGGGATGTCCCATCCTGCTCTGGCACGATCCTGATTCTCCTCTCCACGTACTTACGCATGCTTGTCCCCGGCCACAGATTGCAGGCTGTTCCCTTCACACGTGTATGTTTCTGTCCGCTGAGAGTCAGAGTAGCGCTCTTGATGATCCAAAGACGCAGAGGACTCAGCAATGCTCTCGTTTTTAAAGATTTCCCTGAATACAGTTTTCCCATTGAGGGAACCATCCTGCTGTGTTAACACTATAACAAAATCCAAAGAGTTTTAAGGCCCAGCAAGAACTAGACATTTTAGATAGATATATTCAAATGCAAACTTTCACTTTAGCATGAAGTGTACTGTATGTAGTACGGTTCAGTGATGAACTGGCATCCCATCCAGGGTGTTGCCCTGCCTTGTGCCCTATGCTGCCTGCGACAGGCCCCACAGCCCTGACGGCGGGGGAAGATCGGTGAATGGATGGATTGACCTAATACAGTTTTACATGTCAGAGTAAACTACTTTGTTCTAACAAACTTCAGAATATTCTGGCAACTCAACAGAATAAATTTTATTTCTGTATTCATACAGATTTTATTCTGAACAAACACTGGAAGGCACACTCTCACACACTCCATTAAAGGCAATTTGATCTTCCCCACAAAAACACAAATGACCAGGATTTTGCTACATTTCAAATAGTTTATCTCAAAACAATAAATCATATAAACACTTAAAGACATCACAGCTTCTGTGAAAGACCAGAGTTGATAATAAAAGGACAAAAAACAATGTAAAAATAAACCCCCCATGGATATTCTTTGCTGTGTTTGATTTGCTTGAATTGTGAAGGGACAGAAAAATACAGCCTTCATATCTTCTGGATTTTGCATTTTTGACTGGTTAAAAGTGTATACAGTACATTACATTAACAGGGTAATCAATTCATCTTTGAATTAGCATTCTGAGGGTTGAGTCATGTTAGCATGTTTAGATGGTAAGAGAATATGGCATGGAAATAATATGCAATTTAATCAAAAAAAATACTGTGAAAAATTCATTGGTCTTTGCTGACTTTTGGGCCTCGTGACTAAGCTGAAAAGGAGGCGTTGCACTTCTGTTGACCTCCATGCTGACACTGGATGCTGGCTCTCAGTGATAGATTTTAGAATGCAGTTAAATGCAGTTAGTGGAGGTTTATGTGAAAATGCCACCAGGACAGATTATCAATCAAGAGATAAGAACTGACACGCATTCAGAAAAAGCAAACGCAATAGATTGGCGGCTTCTGCTGATGTGACAAATCCTGATATATACCCTAATGGCTGGGCTGACTTCAGGTTTAATATTCACACGGAGCTGCCTTATCTGGGAAACACTGTGGTTTCGTTTCATTTTAGAGAAATGGGAAAACAGCTGTGTGATTCAAATGTTAGTGGGCAAATATTGAAATGTTGATATAATTTTATGCTTCCAGTTTTAGGACAAGTTCAACGTGTGAAGTAAAATGCAGTGACTGCCACCAGGGCTGCTGGGAAACAAAAAGCACCCACCTCACTGGCAGTGATGCAAATAATACCCTTGTGCTGTAAACCACACATGTCGTCTAACTCAATAGACGGCCGACGAATACCTCATTGTGTAATGCAAACGTGAGACAAAACGCTGGATCCCGACTCCAAAGGCACAACATTTACACGGAACATGTAGAAAGTTCTGCAGCCAGTAGGCTTTTGGCAGGTCACACCACAACCACGCGTGAGTGTGAGTGTGAGGGTGAGTTTGAGGACACCGTGCTGTAATGACTCAGTGGTTGGCATTTCAACACTTCAAGTCCTGGGTTCTTTCTTTTTTAATCTGTATACATCATATATATACCAACTACAAGTGCAATGCGGTACACTGATGCAAAATTTGGCCTTTCATTGAGTCAGAAGTGTAGGTGTGACCCACCTGGTTGCAGTATGTTTTTAGTATTTTTAGTTGTTTTAGTGTAACTCTCAAACTCTTAAAGAGCCTCATGCTTCATGTAAGGGTGCATTAAGTTACTGCCAGGGATGAGAGTTAGTACATATGCGGTCCGTAGAAGTAAATTCAGGTTATGGGAACTACAATGTTAACACATTACTCTGCTACATACACTTGTGTTCATTCACATTTAATCCGACGAGTGAGAAAAGTTAGCTATCTGGCCCTATAGGACTCGTGGAACATGTTCACATGGCTGATCAGAACATGGAGATGTTCCACAGGTCTGTCTCATGCAGAGAAGCCAGCCAGGGCTAGTGTTTCTTCTGCCTCGCCATCGTGTTCTTGGGAAATAAGAGTTCTTTCCGAGGCAGTAGGGAGGGTCGGGAGTCCAGGGCTCCTGCGCTAGGAGAGCGTGCCCTACTCACACCCTACTCACAGGCCAGCTTGCTGTCGAAGCTGGAGAGCGCGATAGCGAAGGCCTGCAGGGCACACATTGGGTAGCTGTAGTCCATGGTGAAGATGTCCTCCGCCACTCGGCCGAACTGCATCACGATGTAGTCGGCTGTGGAAAAACCAGATTCTCCATGACTGACATGATTATTAATAAACGGGTCCAATAGACAGTATAGACCCGAGGAGAGAGTGGGTTCTGCTTGTGTGTGAAAAAAGTGAGTGAATAGCAGAATTACTATCATTACAGAAAACTAAAATTAAAACTGATAGAAGACATTTTCATAAACTGAATATGAAAATAAAAAACTACAAATATTGCTTCCATAACTACCTGAAATAAAATAACATGCATGAAATACTTAACCATTTTTAATACTATTTAGCAACAGTAATGAACTGTTAATCTTTAACCAATACATGGAACATTTTTTGAGCATTGTGAGAACATGTTACGGACAGGCATGATGAAAGGGGGATGGATCATAAAGCAGCTCCAAGAAATGCAGGTTTTATTTAACAGAAGCAAACTCAAAACACAAGGGATGGCAAGGGGTCAAAACAACACTGATCAAACAGAAATAAAGGCAGGGAACGACACAGGAAAATTACAAAACAGGGAAAACTACACCACGGGGAATCAGCAGAACCACAGATGGAAACAGCTACACAGGGATTCAGCCCACAGTGAACTAACAAGGAACAGAACAGAAGCAGGCACTTAAATACACAACTAACAGGGCGTGACGCTGGACAGGTGAAAAGCATAACTCAACCTATCAAAAGGACTCAGGGCAATAAGGAACTGGAGGGGTGAATTACAATTAAACAGCACTAGAGACTGGAGAACATTAACAAAGGTTAACTACACTTGGAGAGAATAGAACACGAGAACCACCAAACATAATAAAGCAAGGCACAGACAGGGTGAACCATAAACAGAAACACAAAGACGCTGGATCTGAACACACGACCAAAGGGAGGCCAACCTCCAAGCCACATGCTCAGCCCACTGAGCCCCGTGGCAGCACTGGAGAACAGGGGAAACACACAAGGCCAACGCCAAGCGGGAAAATAGCACACAGGACAGGGCCAGACGGGACGGACCCTGACAGGACGATAGTACATAATGTGCTCTGTGAAGAACGGATACAGAAAATAGCTGTACGACTTTCAGCCTATCCCTATTAAAACTATTAAAACTCAAACTGAAAGTAAAATATATAAAACTATGCAGAAATGCGTCTTTAAAATAAAAAACAATACAAACTAATAAAACTACACTGAAAACAAACTAAAAATAAACTGGATTGCAAAAGACATTTGAAAATAATATAAAATTAAAAAATCAAAACTATAACAATGGTGGATAATCACAGTAATGTTTATAAGTGTAGTGAGCTTTTACCCAAACTGCCTTTTCATTTGTGCACTTTTATACAGGTGGAAGTTTTATTTGAATGATGCAGTTTAATGGCTCCATTCAGTGGCCCTGCAACCCAGCGCGACTCCTGAAAAAATTTCCAGTTACAGGTACTGTCCTTTGCCAGCTCCCTCACCCACTCACATCTATTGTCCCAGGATATCTACCCTGACGTTCCCTTAGCCTTGACAGTACTCACGGTCGTTGTTGTGGATGATCTGGAAATTCTTCACGGAGGCCTGAGTCACTCGACCGTGGAAGTTGAGCACGTAGGACTGTGTGTCGTCATTCCACACTGGGGTCTTGTTATGCAGCTCTATCACACTCTCTGTGTTCTTGTTCTGCCATCTTGCCAGAAGGGACTCATGGTCCTGGGATGGGGGGTGAGGGGGTTACTCACATTCAGGGTTACACGTGGCACAGATTTGGGGAAATTTGGCTACAGCCCCCTCACGCAAAAACAGAAGCTCACTCACGTTGCAAGGCCGCACTGACACTCTCTCATGGTCCATGTTCATTCCAGGAATGATGACACTCATTTTGCGAGGTCCTTTGAAACCCAAAACATTTGTTTCCTAAAATGGAGATTTGTAAATTAAAGATAAAAACACAGATCTGTACTTTAACTAAGACAAACCTTTGGGGAAAAAGATAATATAACATAGGCAATAAAAGTAACAAATATTTACGTATTTTAAATTACTTTGCTAGTATTCATTTAATATAGTACTGTGGTACTGTAAGCAGGAGCCCATTGAGTTTGCCTCCTGCTATTTCCTGTCTGAACAATAGGTGTCTCCCCATCACATCCCATCTCTCTCTCCAGCTCAGATACTGGACATCAACTCCCTGTGGAAGCTATCTCTGATAAGTTGGCTGTGCAGTGCTTTTTGCTTATTTCTGTGCGTGTGAAGCAGACTGACAAGCCAATAAGCGAAGGCTATGAGCCGAGAACACTTTTCAGGAGGGAAACTGTGTCAGCGGAAGCTTCCGGAAAGGATACTCACGTAGCAGATCGCTGCCAGCTCCTGCCTCAGACTGCCGGCCTCTACGCCTGAGGCTGTCTTCCCTGGATTCTTGCCGCTGTCATAAACCATGAACTTGGTGCCCATCAGGTTCGACCTGCAAATATAAAACAACCCACAGCTGCGGGTGTGATCTATGAAATGCACAACGATCTGTAACCTGCAATATGACCTGCAGGACAAACTAGTCCAGCGCTGTGCTGACTATGGACACATCCTGCCTGGAAGCCATCTGCTCTCAGTCGGTAATTATGATAAGAGGCTGCGCAGTAACACCCTATTAGCAGGGAAGATCCCACACCCTAATGCTTCTGCCTCAGTACAGCGTCTGCTGCCCCCTTCTGATAAATCATGGCACTACAATCTTATTCATGACATTTCAATACCTCATTAAGAGCTTGGCTTTACAGAACTCCACAAAACTAATATGGTGATTCAAAGCTATTTCCCTTCTGTTTAAAGTTTAAAAACAAGATTAACAATATTCTACAAAAATGTACCCTCTGCACCGCTGGGAATGAAATTACAGTTAGTTCTCCTAGCAATCTTTATTAATGTTGGGGCTGAACTTTGGCTGCATATTTATATGCAGCTCTATTCACATTTGGGCGCAGGGCCAAAGCAGCTCGCTCCCACCTCAGCTTCCCAATGAAGCTCTCTCCATCTCGAGACAGATCCGTGGGGTCGACAGAGATGAGGTAATTAGACGTCTTGCTCTTCTTTCGTTTCCTTCCAGCTAACAGGAACACCTATTTCGCCAACAGGCCCCCAGTAAACGTGGAAAAATAGAATTTCACAGTAAATACCAAAAAAAGACAAAGGGGCATTTTTGAATATGACATAAAATCAGTCTAAATCTTATGTCTAATAATCCATGCAAATAATTCCTTTGGCAATACATCTCCTTACACAAAATGCAACTAGTCAAAATGAAAAACTTAATAATTTCAAACCACTGGTAAATATCAAACATTAGGCAAACATATCACAGTGCAATATGTCCCATTGTGAGCATAACCTTGCTGTATATGTTTATAAAGATTTACGGTCTTTAAATGTCGGATATGTCCTACAAAGAAAGATCTCCAGGGGAGTTTTATAAACCCTACAGCTAGTGCCTGAGCAAAGCAGTGGAGGCGTTCTGCCCTCAACGTTTGGCTCCTGCTGTCTGTGTGCAAAGGGCAGCACTGCGCTGACCTTCTTGCCGTCTTCCCGCTCCAGGTGGAGGTAGTAGGTGGGGTACATGCCCCGGTCCATTCCCTTCTTATCGCGCGTGATCCTGCACTTGACGGTGACGGCCTGAGGGGCTGGCCTCAGGGAGAACTCCTGCAGGTCACCCACATCGACGGGAGGCTGGCCGGTCAGCGGGCTGGATGCTGAGGCCACGTCCTGCTGGGAGGGAGGGTCACGCGGTCAGGGGGTCATGTGGAGAAACGCCGCTGATGTTCAAACAAGGCACTGGAGTTACAGCCCCGTCTTTAGCCTTCATTACCACCACTCAAGACTGATGTCTCTAATTTGCCAGTGTGACACACTAATTGCACCAGAACCTGGAATTAATTCCATGTAGAAAAGCTGAGGTTACTACCAGATAACGCCACTCCAAGCTACAGAGACACTGGAGTCTATTTCAAAACCACAGAAGATCCAATTATGACACTTTTGTCTCATCAGAGCTTTGGGGTGAAGAATCCCATCTACAGATCAAAGTCTGGACCCTTGCAATCCCCCGGAGATCAAATCATTGGCTTTTTTATAGAGGCAATATTCACATGGCATGTACCAACAGCGATAATAATCATTTTTGGGTCTTTGATTGTGAATGTGAGAACAGCAAAGACCTTGATTACCATTTGTAGTATTTTAGCAGGCAATTATATATCAACTTACAGAGACTTAGTGCTGAAAATCTTTCTTTTTCATCATGCAAGTTCTTAATTTACAATATGGGAAGCCAACAGGCAGTAAATTAGGTACAGACAATTTAACACAGAATGGCTGAAATTAATGACATTTAGAGTCATTAAAAAAGAGTGACAGGCATGCGAGTCCTTTTTAAAGCGTAGTTATAGATTAGAAATTAAGATCGGCTTGCAGATTGAGTCTGCCTGGGGACTGATGGGCTCAGCGGCACATGCTGTAGGGCCTCCTTATCAAGGCTGCAGTGAGTGGCAGGATGGGACTGTGAGATACGGGGGGCAGGCCTGCAAGGCAGAATGGCGGTGGCTTTTCAGATGTATTCCACAGAGTGGCATTACATCAGAAGGATGGCATTTTAGCGCATGGCATCCGTCCATCCATCCATATTCAAGCTACTTATCCAGGACAGGCAAGCAGTGAGCCTGGAGGCAGAGGAACCTGAACAGGATTCAAGTCCACTGAAAGGCAAACACTATGGGAAACTCAGAGAAGGTACTTTAACTAAATTGTCTTTGGACAGTGGGAGGCAACAGAGAGCGTAGCTCTGGGATTCAATCCCCAGCGCGGGTGGTTTGCGGTGATGGTGCTTCTGCCTGCATCACCCTGCATCAACTGAGACATGCAAAACATCATATTCAAAAGGCAGAGTATTGGTTATGGAAATGGAAAAGCTAGCCAATGGAATCTAATGAATGAGGGGACATTTTGGTAATATATGGATCCTCATCTGAACAGGGCAAGAGGTTATGGCTCTGTTTGATGTTATTTAGCCACTATGTATAGTACCTTGTTGGATTTCCTGCTAGTCGCTGAACCAGGTCTGGTGTTGCTGTTGAGCTGGGAGGAAGAGGAACTGTCTTCGTCCTCATCATCCTCTTCTTCGTCAAAATTCATACTACTTGAAATACCTTTGCAGGTAGAGGACATTGGTAAAAACACACACCTCCCATATGTAACAAACCCTCTAAGTTTATGTAAGACAATTTTACTGCCAAGCCCTGAGCACCAGGAGCTGGAGGGGAATATGGCGACACACCTGCCCCCCCCTGGCCAAGTGACGGGGGAAAGAGGGGCCAGGCGACAGACGGAGGTCTCAGTGCACCATGGGAGCCAATCACCACGTCACATATCATTAACTGCTGAACTGGTGAATCACCTGCACCGCTAATTAACCAGAGGCATATTTGTGTGTGAAGGATGGGACGAGGGGAAGCCGGCTGGGGCCAAGCCGAGCGTGGAGTTAGAGTGTGATATTACTGCAGCAGGGTGTCATGGGAAATGACTGCGGAGAGAGAGACTTTCAATACTGAGGTCACGAGGTCATGTTGTTCATGCAGCGCCATGCTGTTTACAGGGGTCTTCCCATTTTTATAAATGCACCCCACAGCTAATCAGTGCATCTACCCCATCTCTGGTGTGGCTTCACGCTGCGCTGCCTCTATCGGGTACCTTTCTTCAGCATGGTCACCCTCAGGTCCTGCTTGGCATGGTGCTGCCCGCCGGCCAAAGCTCCGCCCCCGCTGCCATCCCCAGACGGCTGGCTGACCGTCAGGATCTGGATTTGGCTGGCCAGGTCCACCGCATCATCGCCTGGGCCTTCGCTTCCTGTCGGACAGGTAAATCCACCCGCCCCCAAGGACCAGCCTCGTCAGCCAATCAGGTTTTGGTTACACTGTCATCATTCATGTGTAAATGCATACAGCTATTCTCACACAGGGTTATATATAGAGAGACCTTCCATTTCCCCTTTGCTCTACCCACTGACAGAAATGTCTCTGTTTAATAAGATGTGATTCATCACTTTCCTCTGCAGTGCTTCTGTTTAGTAATATGTTTAATCACTGGTCGCAGGTGTACGTCTCTTTAACCATCCCCGTGGTGGTTCTAAAAACCCCATCTTGCTCTCTGTGACAGACACAGGACCCCCGGCACCGTTAGGGCCCTGGAGCAGACGGGGTTAAGTGCCTGCTGAAGGGCCCAGTGGGGATATGATTACGCTATAATGCATCACATGATCTATCATCCATCTTTCTATCATCTATCTATTGTCATACATCATCTACGATGCATCTATACCTTCATAATGCATTATAATGGCCGGTATAAGAATTAACCATTACAACATCTTCTATTGGCAGGCATAAGGCATTATAGTGTTGATTATAATATTTCATAAGCTCTCATTTCTAATGCATAAGAAGTACATTCATAAAGCAGTACAAAGCATCCTTAATTCTTATACCGACCATTATAAGGCATTATGAAGATATCTACAGTATAGTGCATTATCGGGGGGTTTTCAGACTGGAGGGAGGGGCAGACTAGGGCCAGACTAGTCACAATGGTTGAAATGGGCTAATATTTTGCCAAGCAGCACGTTTTGCAGACCGTGAACATTATCCATTAACCATCCATTAACAATGAAGTTGGCGACACACCACAATCGACTAATCGACTGATCGACGGGTTGGTTTATAGAATTAAATGCTCCATATTTCATATTTATTTTTTTGTTGAGGGGTGATGACTGGGTGGCCAAGTATTCACGAGACGGAACACGGCCACCCCTTGCCACCCCTTAGATCCGGCCCTGTGCTGCATTATAGATGACAGCTTCACTAAAGTGCTACCAGATTCTCTTCTGTTCTCCAAAACGTTACTGATCTTGTTGGATGGCTAGAAAAATTCAGCTTTGGTTCCCAAACCTCTCCTCAGGGGCATCCCAGCCATCTTTGTTAAATTTCACCAACAGCTCATTTAATTCATTAGCTTAATGAGTGAATTAACTTCAAGAAGTATTGATTACCCAAACAAGGTGTGCTAGTGGGTTTAGTTCAACAAATACATGGACACACTGAATGGTAACTGGAAGGTTACTGTCATTTACAGCGGGCGGCTCCTGGCCTGCCAGCCCTCAGCTCTGATTAGGTGTCTCCATCACGGAGCCCAAAACACCATCCTTAATGATGACATCAGCATCCTCAACATGCTCTCATCAAGGCAAATTAGCCATCGAGTCATTAGAGCCGGGACGACGCCCTCTTGTTCTTTAAAGCTGCTGAAATTATGCAGGTAGGTTGAAATTATGCCGGCCCTGAGCGGCCTGCTTCCCGCCCTGAACGGCCTGCTTCCCGCCCGCGGGAGCTGCTCTGCTGTGAGCCTTCGCTGACTCGTGCCGCCTGTCCTCGCCAATGACTCGAGGCAGTTCCTAATGATGCTGTGAGTACCCTGCGGCTCGCCGGCAGTTCTGACCCCGTGCCGCTTCATGAGGTTCCCATGTCCTCCCACATGTGGCAGAGCACGGGCACTGATGCGTTCGGAGGCCTGCTGGGCGCTTCACGCCCTCCTAACCTCTGTGTTTCCCCCTTCTTTCCTTCTTCCCGCTGCTGGACTGTGGCGTGGAAGCAGCGGCCCGGGACTTTTTGGAGGAGAGGGGGGCCTGCGAGTCTCCTGTCGAGTTCCCCTCCTCGTGTTCAGCCTCTTGTACTAGGAGGAGCGAGGGAGTCAGAGGAGGAGGTGGAGAGAGAGTCCAGAAGAGAAGAAGAGACACTGTGAAGTTAAGCAGCTACTTTGAGGACGGAAGAAGCATCAAGCCTGTCTGTCCACCTGTCTGTCTATCTACCTGCCTCCCCATCGGACCATGGACCCTCTTGCCTGCAGTCAGATTGAGCAGGCCGCTTAATCCAGCTGCACACCTATAAGCGTGGCACTGCGGGGGCTACATGAGGGGACCAGCAGGGTCCCGGGTGCTGCTGTCCTGCCACACCCATCCCCAGTGCCTTGACGTGAAAGTCCATCTCACCAGTGATCATGTCAAACAAGAGGCGGAGGGAGAGAAGCGATCGATTAATCATGTTGGTGTGGAAATAGCGCAGCGAGGTTGGGGACAGCGCAGAGCCAGACAGATCGACTGTTTGCTTCTTAAATGTCAGAGCGCTGATCTCTGGCTTTTCCAAGAGGCGGCACTTCACACCAGGGGAATCCAGCCATTCTGTCTGCCAGACCTAAACCGGGAATGGACTCCAAAGCCTCAACTGAGAGCGGCTCAGCCATCTGCGTGTCCTTATCCTGACACGCCGTGCCAATACCGGGCCGGCGTCAGGCGTTCTCAGCCCTCTCGCTACTCTGTGCTCAGCTATTGAAACCTCACAGCAGTCAGTAAGTCAGCCTGCGTGACATGCAATTCAGACCTCGCTGTGACTAAGCCTATTCAGCTTCAGTTTAAAGGTATTTTTCTTGATCTATATGGAGAATCAACATTCTGAAAAACAATTTCATGACTGTTAAAAAAAAAAAGAACAGAGTGTGTCTGGCCATTCTGTAAAACATCAGTGACATAGGGTGAACATAAAAACAAACTGTGCCTAAAAATAGTTCTCACCACGGAGGTGGGTAAACAGGATGTACTTCATGTGGGGCGTGTGAATGAAGCAGAGATGGCAAGCTGGTCTGCAGTAACCTGACAGTGAACCGTTCCCTTAGAGTTGCTAGTTTGAGTTTCCAAAGGGGCTCGCAGTTGTATCTCGCTCCAGTGAAATATCCGGCTGTACTGATGGTTAAATACAAATAAGGCCGATGGGAGACGTTCAAGGGAATCCATTGTGGCCGATCTGCGTTAAACTCACAGGCTGCCAGGAAATGTAGCAGGTGAACAAGCTGGCATGCTTTCGCCGGGAGTCGGAGGGTATAAATCAGCCAGGGTATCCTGCCAGCGGGACCACAGAGGCTCCGCTAATCTGCCGGGTGTCTGTCGCTTTCTGGTCACGCGGCAGTGGTGGCTGGGCCTGCCTGTGCTTAGCCCCGCAGAAGGTGATTAGTTGCATTCAAGGTGGGCTTCATATGAATAGAGCTAGCGAGTGTAAGGCCATGTCTGACGAAGAAACGGAAATGAATAAAACTGGAGAGAGACAGTGTGTGGGGGGGGGGGGGGCCTTCCATCCCTACCAGCCACCACAATCAGCAGAGCGCTTTTCATCTGCACTTTGTTCTCATTCATCAAATCCCTGCCATCCACAAAAAAAAGGAACCTGCACACAGCAGTTCAGCCATCCATATATCCACCGACCATCTTCCATTTCTGTTGATTCTAGGAGTGTGAGCCTACAGCCCATTCCAGTGAGCATCACAGGATTATTTTTAGTGCTACTCTAACGCAATCTACAGGTAACCAAACCCTGGATGTTTGTGTGTTTTATACACTGCCCAGCCAAAAAAAAAAGTTGCCATTTGAATTTTTCGTAGGACCGCCTTTAACATCTCACCCTTTATTTTCATCCATTGCATTCATTTCTCACCGAGATCCTGTATTGACAAGTGAGTTGAACCTCCATAAAGCCTCCTTCAGCACATGCCAAGGACCATCAATGAGGTTATGGTCACAACTCTGTGGTGGCCAAGTCATGCATGAAAATGATTCCATGCTCCCTGAACCACTCTTTGAGAATTCAAACCCAATGAATCTTGGCATTCTTGTCCAGGAATATGCCCATGCCAACAGGGAAGAAAAAATCCATTGATGGTGGATGGAGGTGTAACCTGGCCATTCAGTAGATTCAGGTACTCAGCAGACTTCACTTTATTGCTGCATAATGTTGCTGAGCTGTAATAATGATCCAGTCATTGGCTCTTAAGTATTTGCTGATATAAATTCAAATGGCGACTTTCTTTTTGACCAGGCAGTGTATAAATGCAGCTTTACTTTAACTGCCTGGTCATTTGCCCTCTCATAGCCATCGTGTCATATTTCAGTGAGGGCTTTCCAGATGGGAGCCCAGATTTTGTCTTGGACGATGAAAACCTGCTCTTGCACATCCCTTAGCAGCTGTCAGGAACGCAAGCCAATGGCGGCGGGATAGGAAGTCAGTGACCCCTAAATTAAGACTGCCCGAAAGTCGAAACAGTGGCGCAGTTCATCACTCACAGCCTAAATTGTTTTTCCCTCTCCCTCGTGGGTGAAATTGCCCTTCGGCACGAATCAGCTTCAAAGCTGATTCGCCCGCAAGCATCAGATGGTGCCGTTCATGCAGTCAGGACAGTGGGACCCCATTCAGGCTAGACTCCTCTCCTGGAAATGGAGGTTTGAAGGCTGGATGGTGTCCCACGTGGCCGAGGACTTTGCCATTTTCCTCTCTTCTCTAAGACACCGGAAATGTCGTGGCCCGTCGCAGCACATTCAGTGCACACCATTCGGGGCTCACAGCTGTGCACTCTGACATCAACATGCATTCAGAATGCGAGGATGGATGGAACTGGGGGCTTCCCCAAATACAGAAACGAGATCAGAACCTTCATCAGCAGAATCAATCACGGTTAGATTGAGGAGCTTCTCAGAGCTTTCCCTTAGCAGATTAGCAGATTAGCGGATGTTGCCCACACATCTCCTCCAGTACGGCGGCATTTCCATGGCCAGTAAACAGAAATATGCTGGGTTAAGAAACCTGTTTTGATCAGGAAACTTCTCAGCCTTCTGAAACATCACCATTCCCCATTCTCATCTATTGTTAAAGACCAGAAGCTTATTAGGGTCACAACAGCTGCCTGTTACCGTGGTAAATGGTGCTGCTGTTGCTGCTGAGGTATGACTCCACCAGTGGTGCCTGCTCCTCGCTCTGCTTGGTCCTGCGGACGCGTGAGCGGCCGTCCGCATTGGCTTGCACCATCAGGGGCTCTTGTCGCTTCTTCTTCTGCTTCTGCTCCAGCAAGGCACGCTGCAACACACACAGACACACACACACACGTGCACATAAAGAGACACACACACAATCTCCTGTTATTATTCTCAAACACTGTAGGCAGTACACTGAAAGACATTCTCTGCTTTTAAACATAATTTGATATTCTCCGTCTGAATAATCATCTTCATACTCATCTTCATTATTATTGTTTTTTTCCTTATTTTTAGGATGCATCTAAATATCTGACTACAGACACATTCAAAATACAGTGCCAAAGGATAACTGCACGTGTGCTACCTCCTCCTTAGCTGCATTACCAAACCTTTATATGTTTATATAAACAGAAATGCACAGAACTGGTACGCAAGTTCACCTATAAAAGTGATATGTGCGACAATCAATTGTTGTAACAGAGAAAATGTGCACTTATTTTATGTGCATTTGCACTAATATTACAAGAAATTATCGTGCATTTTAACCTTTATATGCTAATTCGTACTTTGTGTTATGAAGATTAAAATGCAGAGCAATTTCTTGTCATATCAGTGCAAATGCACATAAAATAAGTATGCATTTGCTATGTTACATACGCTGCACATATCGCTTTTATTTTGAACGTGTAAATGTGTACCAGTTATGTGCTTCCCTGCATATAAAAACATAATGAGTGTAGAGAGAGACCAGAACTGCAGGATGTCTGTCATGCAGCACAGCAAATCACTCCACAGGAAGGATCACTGCTTTCCTTTCTGAGGCCTCACGTCAGACTCACATTCATCTCCATAGAAGCAAACATCATTTTGATGCAGAACCACATACTTACATTACATTTTATTTATCATTTTTATTAAGCATGGTCAGTCAGTTCCAGGAGCAATTGGGGTTAAGGGTCTGGTTCAAGGGCCTAATACTAAAATGACTCTGTGACCCAGGGACCTTCGAAACACAGGCACAGAGCCCTAACCCACTGATCCACACACCACCCACTGACACGCTCAAGCTCAAGGCCAAGGCCAAACTTCCTCACAGGGCACCTACAGAGCACAGCCCAACCAGAATCAGCCAAGTCCTTAAGACACCAAACTGACCCGGAGACCTTCTGGCCCTATTCTGAGTATTGTACACTGCGTTCTTACTCCATAACCATAACCAGTTCTGCTGCACCCATACAGTGGATGTGGGATACGTGAACAAAAGCGTGATCAGGAAAGCGGGCGGCTTCCACAGCCAGCGGCATGCTGGGAAAAAGCACACGGGGTGTACGTGTGTCACCTCTTCCGTCTCGTCCATTTCACAGTAGCTCCTGGCCCTGCTGCAAGGGACACAATGTTCTCTCCCCCCTCCCAAAAAAAAAAGCCTTGACGTCAATAGAATAGTAACAGCATTTTGCTTCCAGCTTAAAAGAATTACTATGTTAATTATAGATGGTACTTTTCGGTTTTGAGAAATGGGAAATATAACAAAAGCACAACTAGAACAGTAAGCTCTCAACAACTCTTACTGTGCTTAATTCTAGTGAAACCTTTCCAGAGAATGGCTTTGATGTCGCACAGCAGGGCTCTTCAAGTGAATTAACATCTTTGCACATGCTTGGAGAGCCCTGTCAGGTCTCACTGTGGGGCTTTTAAAGACAGCTCGTGAAAGGTTATCATTCAAAGCAAACAATGATTCAATATGCAAACCCAATGGCTCTCCCCATTGTAAAAACCACCCCAGATAGGGGATTAAACCATGAGAAGACAAGCCCTCCAGCACCTGTCTGTCCCAGAGCCACTGAAACAGCCTGTTAAGCAGCTTTTCCACACGCCATCGGTTCTTCTACTCACACAGGGCTTGAGCTCACATCCATCCTCTTCCACTTATTCTTGCCACATTGCCACACCCATCAAATCTTGCAGAACTTGCCAAAGAGAGATCATCTTGAATTCCAGTGCAATGGGTTGCCTTATGATGATGTTCAGAATGATGCTGCATCACATCTCAGTAAAATGGTTATATTTCAGTAATGAAGTGTCCATGGAAGACCCACAAGAAGATTTAAAAGATCATCAAACAGGTCACAATTCTCTTCTACCAATTTCAACACGGTTTGCTCTGACCATGAGGAGTAACAGGTCACAGGAGATTTATCTAACTCTTTTTCCCATTTTCAGTTTTCCAGTCTTTCTGATGGCCTTTCATTGTGTTTTGCAGTCTAACCATTCTAGATCTCAGATGGGCTAAATTCATACTGCTGTTACCAAAATCCCTGTCAACATGTGATCATGTGAAGTATGAAGGATAATTTGGAGATAAATGGCTATATTTGCTGTTTAGCACAACAGAACAAAGTGCATTTTACATCATTCCCTTCACATTCAATCAAGACAAACTCACCAAAAGAAGAAATGGCAAGAAAAGATTTATTTTTATCTTGATTAGGGTTAGCATTAGCTACCTGCTTCCCACTCAGGTGTAAATGATGAACCACATGTCCAATGATCTGGCATCGGTGCCCCAATATCTACAAAGTCGGCTGTGCTGCCCCCTGAATCAGAATCAGAATACTTTACTTGCCAAGTGCCAGATGTGCAAAGAACTGATCTTAGCGCAAATGACAGCATAGAAAATATGATTCCCCTTCCCCCAAGATAAATACAACAAAAGACATGTAAAATGTATATATAGACAAACCTTAAAACACAATTATGTTAAAAAACATGTGCAAATAAGCTGTTAAAGTGAAGATGCGTAGTGTGCCTGATAAGTTATACACAGTCAAATTATAATTTTATATGGTAAGTACCGCTAAAATGGCCAGTTAGTCATGGATGAGGGCTGTAAGGGTTTTGCACTGGAGAAAAGACGCAGCGATTAGTCCATGTCTTTAGGGCTCTTATTCTCAGGATTCATCTCTCCTGTTTCCACATCCATGTTGAGTACAGGTATTCGCTGAGTATAACCAGCAGCCTGTGATGCTCTCTACACACTGCACAATGTGTTGCAGTTCAGAGTGTGCTGATGCAGAGCCAAACCAGACGGAGGATGTGATCTGATGCCTGAATCAATTATGGCTGTGTAGGACTGAACCGGCAGTGCCAGTGACAGCTAGAATTTAAGGTGTTCCAAGAAAGAACATGTTCAGCTCCAGACTGTTCACGCCTCACCATGACACCAGTTGACTTACTTTCTAGCAGTGAGTGGACTTACTGGGTTTTTTTCACCATGATGGTGTCGTCTGCAAATTTGCGACGCCATTGGTATATAATGAGTACAGAAATGGAGACAATGCTCATGTTGATCTCTTCCTTAGCGAAACAGTTTCCCAAAATCAGCTGAGAACCAGGGTTTGTTGTTGTTGTACCTACTGTAGGCTTTCCTTGGGATGCAGGTCTCCTTGCAAAAACTGATGTAAGAGGTGACTGCGTCAGCATGATCATCCACGTTGTCAGAAGTTCTTGGGAAAATGTCCCAGTCAGTGGAGTCTGAGTTTCTACAGCTTCAGTAGACTATATTCTCAATTTAGCTTCACATTTAGCAGCTTCTTCCTGTGAGGGGGGCATGCATCATTGCTTGCTACACCCTCACTGATATTATAGGTGCTTACAACCTTGCAAGTCAGCAAAGCATGTTTTGGTTCCTGGATATAGCATCAAACAGAGCCTTTCCTGGAGATTGACTTTGTGTCCTATCATTTTTTGCGGTTTCCTACCCATTTGGAGATCAAAAGATTTGTTTCGTGTGCTTACACGAAAAAAAGGAAAGGTGCAAGTTTTCACAGCTCCAAGTAATTCCCAGGATGTCCATCAGAGGGCAGCACCTTGATTTCTTTAGGAGATTGCCTAGCTTTCCAGAAGGTTCCAAAAATTTGATCAGCTCCTTCTTCCTACCCCATGAACTCTCTGGTTTTCACCTGTGTCTTGTGTTCTCAAAGTTTCCTTTGAACATTTTTTTCTAATAAAAATTCCTAGTTTTAATATACTTTTCCTGTGCTGCCTGTCTGCATGTGTGCTCAAACTAGAACAGAACCTGCTAGCGTAGAAACTTCTGGCAGTGAGCCTTGGGGTATGCTCACAGCAAGACTCAGCCAGTCATGAGCAGAGCAGATGCAGACCCGCTTTGTGCAGCTTTTGCTAGCCAGGGTGCACTGCTTGGAGTCCAACAGCTCCATAAATTGCTGAATCCATGACCCAGATAACAGAGGCAATCAAAATTCTCATAGCCTGGATTACTGCCGCTTATAACAATAGGCTCAGTCCCAGCTTTGCCAAGCAGTGGAGATCCATCTGAGTGAAGTTCCATCTTGGAGCTGAACCTCTCTGCACCATAGTGCCTTGATAGAAGACCTGAATTTCTGATTCAGTGTTTGCTCATTTTTGAATTGTGGCCATCTATGTCTCAGCCTATATCATCTGTGTGTCCATGGGTCATGCATTAGAGTGGATTACAGTAGTTTAGGAGCAACTATGACCAGTGTGAAGCAGCTTTACAACCTTCACGAATGCAAGTTCATGACCACCCTGTAGGTGGCCAGAAGGCTGCTTGATGACTGAGCCAATGTTCCATAGCTGAATATGCTATTGATTTTAGAGCACTGGCAGCTGAGAGTCAGTGAGACACTAAGGCACTTCACACTGCAGCCTTTGAGGGAGTTAAAGATGAGCTAGCCATCTGAAATTGGGGCTGCAATCTGAAGGATGTAATCTCTTCTGCTATTTATACAGAAACTGACAGATATATCAGAAGCTGCATCTGACAGACATCATTTATGCTCATACATCAGCCTTGCCCTCCTGCTTAGAAATCATACAACTGGGGTCTTCTTATCTGACCAAGGAATAGAGAAATAGTTGGATGTGAGAGGACAGGTGACTTTACCATGCAACTAAAGGACATCTCTGTACCCATTGCCCAGAGCTCAGAGTAAATCACAAAGCTCACTAGAGGTGCAACCTGAGCAGTGCACCATCTGCTCCATACCTCCATGTGCTTATCTGCAGGTGCCCACCATGGCTCGGGCAACAGAAAACTTGGATGCGACTTTAGCACAGATAATAGGTTATTTTTTCCAAAGAATGTCTGACCCCATTCTTAGAAAATGCAACAGTTGACTGGTTTATTGGGTTGATGAATGTTAAATCAAAGCAATAAACCATTGTGTTTGATCATAGGGACTTCTCATGTAGAGGACATGGTATAATCATCTTGAGTCTCCACAAATCTCCTACTATTCTTAGATATCCCTAGTTGAATAAATAAGTCCCAGTTCTCCCCTACAACTGGGGTTATATGAAGGTGGGGCGCTCTTGTCTTTCCTTGAGTGTGGCCGCTCCTTTTACTGGGATCCGCTCCTGTAGTTCCACATTCTGACAATCACCCTCCTGATCCAAGCTGTTTAAAATCATAATATTATGACCTGGCATGAAAGCCCATTCCTCATTGCCCCTGGTCATACATCGGAATGGATTTCATCATTATTTTAGTGTTTCGCCTGCAAAAACCACTCATCCAGGAATGAAGTCCTAGTTTGGACAGAAAATGCCCACAATCACTTGATGTCTACATCCACAGGGACTGCAGGTTTTGAATTCCAGTTTGGCTTTAAGCACCCTCTGCTCCCCAGTCAGCAGGCATCTGTGGCTGGGCCATTCACTGAGGCTCTTGTCTTCCTGTGCAGAATGGCTTGGGCAGCTCATGTCCGTGTTTCTGTGCACCAGCAAGGACAGGCCAACAGGCAATGCAGGGTGGGCTTCCTGTTAAGACTGTCCATAGAGTGGCTCTCAACAAGGGACCTACCATTGCAGATAGAGTCACAGAAGTTCGTCCTGTCATTCTTTGAGCCTTTCCAGGTTATCCACTGTCAATACTGTCTCCTACCAGATTGCTCTCCCAACGTCCACCTAGGTGAGTCCCATGGTCCATTTCTCTTACCTGAAACCCAAACTTACCTCTCTGTTCTCTCCTCTGTCGCTTCCTTTGCCTCTTATTATAGCCATTGTAGGGATTCATGTTCATACAGTTTGGTGATTCCTGATTTACTGATGACATCAGTAGGTGGTGACTGGGACCGGTATGGCCCTAAGGAACATCTCCTAGGTTCCTGGACCTGATAGAGGACTTACACTTCTAGCATCCTCACCTTCATTTCTTTAAGAGATTCACTAGGTTTCCATAAGGTTTCAAAAAATCAAGCATGACCAATTCCTATTTCTGTTTTGTTTCCTACCCGTCATGGTCATTGTTTCACTTGTCCTTTGTCCCCTACATAAGCAACCCACTATACAATCTGTGCTAAGTCATAAGCAAGCTAAGCTTGACACAAATACTAAGTGATACTGGTCATACTGTTGCATTTTGTAAACTTTGTTAACTTTTGTGCCATTATATACATTTTGGTCTCTCCTATCAAGGACTTTTTTGTGTAATTGTTCTTATAATTACTGTTGTCATGCACCTTCCTGTGCTGCCTGACTGAAAGTGTGTTCAATCTACAGTATAAGTCTCCCACAGGCAGCATCGCAGCTTCTGGCAGTGACTCTTGGGGGTGCGATCACAGCTGTCCTTCCATGTGCAAAAAAAAACAAATTTACATGCAGCTCCCAGTAACATCAGTTGCAGAACGAGGAGAAGGATGGGAAAGGAAGGGACAGGAGGAAAAGGAAGATGAGGAAGAGTTTCCAAGCTCCCCTGCTTTTGTAGGGACGCACCTGTCTGTCCAGCCTCTGCTGGCGAAAGCTGCTGCCCTCGTCATCCAGAACACTAAAGAGCGGAAAAGAAAGACAGGGAGAGACAAAGGTCACTGACAGCATGTGTTCACCTAATCTCATCTGTATACAAAAGACACACAGTGAGTGGTACGTGAACATTAGTCTAAGGGTGACCCTCCCCCGCAAGTGGCTGAAGTCACCTGACACTGATCTCTGTTCATGGGCATAGAATTTACTATGCAGGTTCCTCCACAGCATCTTGAGGAACGTGTCACAAGCCTCTTTTGTGTGGACCTAGAAAAGGCACTAGTCAACTTGACACACTGCCTCTCTGTCCACTATGGGTCCACCAGATAGTGCTGCCTCCGCACTCTCCCAGCTGGAAAATCCACTTCTTCCCTGGGATATAAAGGCAGGACTGTGAGGGGCTAAAGGGGAGCTTTGTTAACTGCCCCATTAAAGATGAACTCCTCCACGCGACGCTGTTGCCTTCCCTCCTTCACTGGCTGCGATGCTCACATGGACACGCCCCCTAGTTTGTGTTCCCGTGGAATAACATTACACCTAAAAGGAAAAGCTAACCAATTAAAAGGCAGGGATGGCCCCATCAAAAGGCGATCCTGGCCCCGAGCCATCACACATCTGTCTCTCAATGCTGAAGTTCATTCTGCATTTTCTAAGACCTGCTACACAGCCAGCCTTGCCGCTGACCTACATGAGCACACGCAGACAGACACACAGACACGCACAGCTCCGTCAGCTCAGCACGCAACGACGTCGAGGAAGCCACTAAAAAGGACACTAGTGTCAATATTATTGGACAAATGGTGAGCCTGAGAGACGTTGCCGGGAAAGAGAGATCTGCTCACTTCCACAGTGAAGAGTTGAGACAGCAGGTGTATGGCGAAGCTCTGCATTTCACATTGGCATGCCGCCGCCATATCAGAGCCAGGGCCGACATACAAGGGAAAAACCGACCCTTTGCCAAACACAAGACATCACTTCAGCTCTCAGCTCTGAGACAGATGAGACTGGTGTTTTGAATGACCTACTTTAGATACACCCTGAAAACAGTCAATACAGTTCAGCAAGCTCACTCCTCAATCTCTGAAAAATATATCAACGTGTGGCACTATGGAGAACATAAAAAAAACATATTCTTAAGGTCTGACTGAGAAACCACCTAAGGTCATATGTTTATATTCCATAATAAAACTGATTCAATTTGATTAAAAAAACAGTCATTGGTCTTAATTTTGCAGTGATCAATACTTGCTCTTGTTAATTAAAAACAATTTAAAGATGTAACATACAATGCTGTCAGGTTTTTATCACTGATTAGTTAAATAATAGCTTTTTTATAACATGGAACCCAACATTTTTGATTTTCAAAAAAAAAAAAAAAAACACACAAAAGACTGAACAGGCACTAGGAATCTCCCTGCTTATGCCTGCAGATAGGACCCTTACCGACATTCCTAACACATCTGTGGATATATTTAGCTGTATACAGGCTTGATGATGATGATGACTGATGATGGACATGGTAAGTACAGAGAAGCCACACCCATACACGGATAATCCTTCAGCAAGTGGCTCCTCTGGTCATCCCCATTCTCTAGAAGATAATTTTGTCCCGGAAATAATCGACAACCATAAAATTCACTCCTCGATACAAAGGTAATGTATGCTATGCATTTTGGCACATGAATGGTTTGATTCCTGTACACATCTACTGCCTATTAAGATCATTTCCTTTAAACTGTGGATCAGCACTATATAGCCTGCTTTACTTAAATATTTACAGCACTCACACTCACAAACTAATATTAATTCACTTATGCCTTGCAAGTATTTACAACTGCTGCAACGACTTGACACCTTAAAAATACTTTGGAAGGCACAACTGATAATCAACTATACAGAGTAAATTAACAGCTGAGCTTAATTTATTTTCCTTATAAATATGAAATATGAAAAAAATACAAAAGTGCATGTTGTTTTTTATGCCTGATTTCACACTTAATGTTATTCACACCTTCTGCATCTTAAACGAAATTTCCACTAACATGACAAAATGACTAGAACCCAGAAACTCAGATAACCCCACGTCCAAGAAACAAGGCTTCAACGCAGCAGCTTCCGTAACTTATAGCAACCAGAAGCCAATAGGAACAGAGGGAACAGTGCAACCATGGCAATAGGATTTCTCTTAGTAGCGAAGGCAGTAAGATGCCATTGAGAGCAGACAACCATGTTCACGTTTCACCCAAACCCACAATAAGGTTTATTTGTGTTTTTTTTTAAAGCAAACTATCGAACAAAATGATAATCTGGTTTATAAGAACTACCATAATAGTATTTAAAATTTTCAAATAAACAATTGTACTAATTGTGGACTCATTTTTTCCCCCGATTTATCACAATTCATTTGTTACCTGTCAGCTGAACTTCACTATGCATGTAAGTACTGATCAGATACATTCACCAGCACTTTATAACAGGAATATCTCTCATATGTCGGATAACTAGAAGAACGGAGCTTCATTATAAGTTCCAGTCATGCTCTGCCGCTGCACCGCATCCTTCTAACACTAACCCCTCCCGCGGAGAAGCTGTTTCATCGACACATAAAACGTACATCACAAGTTCTCCGTCTTCAGCTACGCAAAAGGACACGATGAGACACCACACGGTACCTGTAAGGGATCCAGTCCAGATAATGCTTAGAGCTCATATCTCACATTTGCTTCTGCAGAACTCGGATTTGAGGGCATGCGGTAGCAGCGGCGGCAATCCTGACGATAGAGCCCACGCAAAGGAGCAGCACAGCCCGACCATTCTCCGCCTGTTGAACGGGTCGGTGCGTATGCACTTCAGCGTCCCTTATCCATTCGGCGTTGCTGGCGAATGCGGTGGAAATGCGGCCAGTCGTGCCTGGAGCTCACGCCTATTTGCTCCAGCACACATGCCAAAACGCGCGCAGTTTTGAGCTCGCCGCTTTCGCCCTGCGCTCTTTTTCTCTCCCGCCCCCACCCCCGTCTAACGCTTTCGCAGCTTTCCATCTCAAGGTGATTGTTTTATTGGCCCCACAAGATGCAGCATCCAATTAGCTTTGAGATGTCATGTGCAAACTGAATCATTTACAATTGGTATAACCGTGCATATAACGGCATAGGAGAGGGTTTGATATTGTGTGGGGGGGGCGCAAGACTTTATAGTATATATTAAAGTCTATTTACTGAAGAGAAAGAGGGTGCTGAATTAAGCCTAATTTAAGACTGAATTATTGCGGGGTACACCACCCATTCCTAAGACCCCCCCCCGTTCATACTGTACGCCCCTGAATACATTATCATCCTGATTTTAATTAATAACGATAAAAAAACAAGGAGATCGAAAGTCCTCTTATTACGATTTTTCCACCCCCCACAAAATTCAGTTACAAGAAACCCTGGCGGGGCAATTAAATGGCACTGGAAGGGTAATTAGTGGGGGGGGGGGGAACTTAATATATATTTTCCCCCATATGACAGCTGTCAAAACCAACTAGTCTGTCACTTTGTTGGCTTGCTTCTTCATGTGAATTTCTCCTATAGTGAGCAGTTTAGCTCCGACTTTAATGCCTGCTTGACGTGTTTGTGTGTTACAGTCTGTTAAGTGTGCTATAAAACACACCACCCAGAATCCACAAATCATGCCTTTTGAAAATTAGTGCTTTAATTACATTGTTCTGATTCCACTAGTGGCTGAAATGCTTCCATTTCTCCATGTCATCCTCTCAAAAAAATAAAATAAAATCCATAATCACAATGCTGTGGTGTGGAGCAATGCTTCAACCAGCTTCACTGGAAGCTCATTAGTTTGTTTGTCTTACATCCTTTTCAGGTATGCAACATAAGTGCAATTATGTACAGTGAAGCAGTAAGCTTCAGATTAACCTGCTTCTATGGCAACCAATGGTTTCTGTGCTTATCTTAATTGTCCATGTGTGGCACAAGGGTCTATATTTTTCCAGCCTAATACTCTAAATGATTAATTGTGTGTGAGACTGACCACAAGCACCTGATACAGCCGCTATTCTCTTTCTTCCCACACTTTCATTCACATTAGCATTTTTATTAATCTAGCTCACTGCCTTCCATTGCAAGCGTGCAGCTTAAATTTGACTTGTTGCAGACATGTTTCTGTAAGAGACTGTGGTTTTAAAGCATCATTAAATATAATTTATCATATTTTGATCATATAATGCAGTTCTGTGCTATGGATTTTGAGGATAATGTTATTTTCGGTTACCGCACAGGTTTAATTAACATAAGGGATTTCTTTCATGCACACCTTTTATCCTATTGAGGATGGCATATGGGAATATGTGTGAAAGGTGATTCCTGCAGTGTGGCTCTGCAGCAGGTGTTTCGTAAATTCATTAGTCTTCTATCTGTGTGACGCTCTTTGTTCTTCACATACAGGGCCGTAAGGTGTGAATTTCATAGGCTATCTCTGTGTCAGCGAGTGCTCTTTAGAAATCACCTGTAGTGGCCAGTATTTAAGTGGCAATACTCCTCCGCTATTATTTATGAGTGAGCCTTCCCTTTAATCCCGCCACTAATGGTATGTAGGTACAGGACTTAAAGGAGATGGCACAGCGTCCCTTTATGACTGCCTATCAACGGGCCGGATGCCCTGCACGCATGTGACCTTGCTGGCCACTGTATGCATGAATGGCAGATCGACAGGGTGACCAGGGACCTCTGGGAAACGCCCAGGTGTAAGACCCCCCTGTAAATGGGCATAATTAGGACCATGAGGGAGGCAGGGTCTCTCTGAAGTTAAATTTAGCATGCAGCCATAGGGGTATCAAGAAAAAGGCATTAATTCTTCCACTCCCTGGAAGAAGAGATAATGCATCTCAGTGGGACATTCCTGGTAAAATAAAGGATAAATAAAATAAAATAAACCATGCCTTTCTGATAGCGCAGTAGAAAATTCTCCTTAGCTCCTTCTCCCATATTCAGTGGGGGGGGGGGGGCATGGAAAAGGCTGGATTCTATGATCTATTCATGGGTCTTAAGAGCATAGTTCATTAATATGGGACAGTGCAGAGAGGTGATAATTGCATTCTATTAGCATGTTCTGCCCAAACAATGATTTGATAAAAATAATATGCAAGAGATTACGTCTCAGTGAAACCTCCAGTGTATTCTTCTAATTACAGGCAAAACCACAGAACAAAATCTGAATAAACAGATCCCCTTCCCCATGAGCTGTGAAATCATTTACATTACATATATATTTATTATATTTCTTGCGTTAATTAAAATAATGAAGGCTATAAATAAACGTAATAGAATATATAATAGTACATAATAGAATACAGTTTGAAACACCCCTGTATATCCAAGGGTGGCATTCTGAAAAGGGAGCCCATGTATGTTTGCTGATATACTTTGCTGTGTTGTGGCTGCATGGTTTTTTCTCCTGCACACCCTCTCATCTTGACTCTCCCTGCACATCCCTTTGATCTGATGCCTGCCTGGTTGCACTCAAACATCCCTGTATTTCTGCAGCATCATGTATCTCCCTGATCTTTTTCCCCCCCACTGCCAGGAAACACATGGGCACAGTGATTTGCAGATGAGAGAGTCACTGTATATGTCATTCATTATTTTTCAGTGGATACTCTCATTCAAAGTGCTGCACAATTGAGACAGCAGGGTCAGTCAGTAGGTGGAGTAAGTGGGGCTAAGGGCCGCGCTCAGGGCCCCAACAGCCATATCAACTCTGCCCATCACGGGATTTTGAAATGGTGATCTTCTGATTACACAATAACCCCCAAAACCTCTTATTTGTCCATCCATCCATCCATCCATCCATCCATCCCTCCGTCCATCCATCCCATCCCTAGACACTACTCATGTAAACCTCAGGGAGTCAACTTATCCTGATGTTATCTTGATGTGCCTGCTCCATCCATCCATCCATCCCTCCGTTCATCCATCCATCCATCCATCCATCCAACTGTCTATCCATCTTCTAACCACTTTCTGATCAGAGTTTGCATAGCATAGTGCATAACGCAGATGAATACCCTGTATAATCCATCTCAGGGCACACACAATTACATGCTATGCACAATTTGGAGAAGTCATTTCATGTAAATGCAAGCACTTGATCTCCAGTGTTGCAAGTTACAGTGGAGCACCAAGTGAAGTAAAAGGCACCACTTTTCCATGTATCACCACACAGCGTTTGCAAGGCTTGTGCACTCATTTAAAAGAGCGTCCTCTGTTTTTTTATCAAATATGGTAACCCTACCTATAATCATACAGGTGTCACTAATGTTCAAGTGAAACAGCTGGGTGAGTCTTTCAATCAAAGAAACAAACCAATCAAAGCACAAGAAAAACTGAAACATTTAGCCAAAGACAGGAGCCTTTCAGTTTTAAAGTAGTTTGTAAAACCTGAAGTAGCTGAAGTTCCCTGATATGGAATATCTGGTCGACCTAAACAATACTACAGACTTAGCCACCACACCACCATCATTATAAATCTGTCACACATAAATGAAATCAAAGTCGAACATACCATGAAAAACACCTTCAACGGACTTATCACAGATTGCAGAGTTGTCTTCTCCCTTTCTGATGGAAAAAATACAAAAACTGGAGGAGTAACAGGAAACCAGGGCACCTTTGAAGCAATTCCAGCAAAACTCCCTCGGTTATTTACCGTTTGTTTATCACTTGCATCTGTGTTTATTCATCTGAATCTGTAAAAACAGGATGACAGTCCTTCCAAAATACAGCAAGCATAGACACTACTCATGTAAACCTCAGGGAGTCAACTTTAGTTGTAATGTTCTCATACAAACAACAGGAGGATTTTGTTTGCAAAATAATTTAATAAGATTAAACATGTCTGTTTATCTCTCTGGCAGCTCCCTGATAAGATGCTAGTACAATGGTTATTTTTCTAGGTCTTTAAGTCTTCATGTAACATCAGTCTCCAGGGACCCTCGAGAATAAGGCCTACCTCTCTGTTATGGAGAAGGGGAACCAGCTCACATTGAAGGAGATACAAAAAGTGGTTGCGACACCATGCCAACAAGCAGGACTCCCCTCTGCTTGACAGACACCTGACAGGCACCTGTAAACATGCATTTTTTGCGACTGTATTTTACTGGTGACTCGTCAGCACACTGAATCATTCTGTGTTTGCATTCCCACTCTGTGTAAGTAAGGCAGTGACTCATTCAATTAGCAGCAGAGTCTTTTAGAGAATGTGGTGTAAATTATTCTTGAGTTTGATATGGGAACACAGGAAATGAGCTCCCAGCTGAATGCAGTGCCAAGAACAAGACTGGTCAGGACATCTTCTCCCCCCTCTGAGCCTCCTACCTCCCACTGGAGGAGCTAATTAGCATGTGGAATCACTGCTCATTTTAACTTACATCTTCATCAACATCTGGAAACTTGAGATTCTCACCCTTTCTCTCCTCTTGCAATGACTGCGAAGTCCCACCACAAAATATAAAAAAATAGGCTTACAAATCAAATCCTTGTAGAATCACAATTACATCCATCTTCTACCCACTAATCCTGGTCCAGTTCACCTGGAGCCCATTTCAGGCAGCATGGGGCACATGGCTGGGTTACTCCCTGGACAGGATGCCAGTGCATTGCAGGGCACCTACACAATCATACACTATGGGAAACTTATAGACACAAATTAGCCTAACTTCATACATAAGGGAAACCCCGCTTGATACAATGAGAACATGCAAACTCACAGGGTGATGGCAGGATTTGAATCCCCACCCACCGAGCCACCCCAAAATGACCACCTTTTGTGCAAAGTTCATTTCTGTTCTCTGCATGTGCGACTGAACGGTCAGCCCACTTCAGATTCAATGAGTCTGTCAGGCACTGAGTGGATGTTGCTCTGTGTTGATGTTATCCTGATGTTATCTTGATGTTATCCTGATGTTATCTTGATGTGCCCGCTCCAACCAGGCTGACATTTAAAGCTCATCGACAGATTT